TCACTGTGCCTGCTGTCCTGAAGCCTGGGCCTGGCTGGGCCAGGGGGAGCTGGTGCTCACACCCGCTTCCTTTCCCTCCCTAGTACGCCATCCTGATGACCATGGTGCTTACCATCTTCATCAAGTATGTGCTGCACTCTGTGGACCTCCAGAGCGAGAACCCCTGGGACAACAAGGCCGTATACATGCTCTACACAGAGCTGTTTACAGGTAACAGGATCCTGGGCCTCTCTTGACCCACAGCAGCATCCCTCGGTGTGTCTGCCAGCCCTTGGCCAGCTGCGGTCTCCCCTTGCTCCTCAGGCTTTATCAAGGTCCTGCTCTATATGGCCTTCATGACCATCATGATCAAGGTGCACACATTTCCGCTCTTTGCCATTAGGCCCATGTACCTGGCCATGAGGTGAGTCCAGCCTTGCCCTTTACTTTCTCAGACTGAACTCTCCCATGTCTTACACTCACTGACTTGTCTCTTCAGGCAGTTCAAGAAAGCTGTGACAGATGCCATCATGTCTCGCCGAGCCATCCGCAACATGAACACACTGTAAGTGGGCTTATTCTGGCTACTCTCCCAAACTCCCTTTGCTCCCAGTTCTGGTCTTGACATGTTTTCTGCCATCTTAACTTAGGTACCCGGATGCCACCCCCGAGGAGCTCCAGGCAATGGATAATGTCTGTATCATCTGCAGAGAAGAAATGGTGACCGGTGCTAAGAGATTGCCTTGCAACCACATCTTTCACACGAGGTGGGAGAAGGTCTGGGGGACCTGCATCGTGGGCACAGGCTCATGGGGATCTGCTGACACTGCCTGATCTTACCCCCAGCTGCCTGCGCTCCTGGTTCCAGAGACAGCAGACCTGCCCAACATGCCGAATGGATGTCCTGCGGGCATCATTGCCAGCCCAGTCACCACCACCTCCTGAGCCTGCTGACCAAGGACCACCCCCTGCCCCTCATCCCCCACCACTGCTGCCACAGCCCCCTAATTGTAAGTGGTCCTTCATTTGCCCACAGAGGACCTTCCTTGTCCTCAGGTACTTGCCTGGGCTGGGTACCGACAATGCTGGGGAATCCCAACTGTCTACTCTGCAGAAGCTCATCTGGGTGGGAAGGGGTGAGAAGATGGGACATAGACAAATGATGAGTGGTAAGCAGGGCCTGCCAGAGTGGGGGACAGCTCCTAGTAGCCAAGCGCACTGCCTGGGGTGGAACTGTCAGCCCACCCCTCTTCTCACTACTGCTTTTATCTCTGCAGTCCCCCAGGGCCTCCTGCCTCCTTTTCCTCCAGGCATGTTCCCACTGTGGCCCCCAATGGGTCCCTTTCCACCTGTCCCACCTCCCCCAAGCTCAGGAGAGGCTGCGGCCCCTCCATCCACCAGTGCAGGTGAGCCTTTTGCATGCCAAGACAGCTGGGGGTGGCAAAGTCAGATCTAGAGACCTGGAGACTGACTTCCTTCTGCGTTTTGCCAGCTGTTTCTCGGCCCAGTGGAACAGCCACCACCACAGCTGCTGGCACCAGTACTTCTGCCCCAGCATCTGGCTCTGTACCTGGCCCAGAGGCTGGTCCTGCTCCTGGCTTTCCTTTCCCTCCTCCTTGGATAGGTATGCCTCTGCCTCCACCTTTTGGTAAGTTGGCCACTATCTGGGATGTTTAGGGTAAAGAGGTGAGGCCCAGGTAGCTCAGACTGACCTCTGTATCTCCTGCCAGCCTTCCCCCCAATGCCTGTGCCCCCTGCGGGCTTTGCTGGCCTAACCCCAGAGGAGCTCCGGGCGCTGGAGGGCCATGAGCGACAGCACCTGGAGGCCCGGCTACAGAGTCTGCGCAACATACACACACTACTGGATGCCGCCATGCTGCAGATCAACCAGTACCTCACTGTGCTGGCCTCCCTGGGGTACGCATGCCAGATTCTAGTAGAGCTCACAAAGACCCCTTGTAGTTTTTGACACTTGTCTTCCGTGTACCCTGTAATACATTCTGTTGCCTCAAGCCACCTGTCTACAGGCATGCTCAAGAGCTCTTAGCCACGCCTACTGCTTTCATCCTTCGTTCCAGGAAGTGTATCATAGCCATGTAGGGTCAATTTATTAGCAAGCTCATTGTGAAATTTACTTGTTTTTTCTAAGCTGAAATTATTCCTGACATTCGCTGCTATAGCTCATCACGTCACACATCTGCCAGTGCTGACACTGAGGGAGCAGAAAACAGTCACCTGAAGCCAGCCCGACTCATGTTCCAGTGCTAGTGTCATCACTTGCTTGAAGACTCCTGTACATTAGGATAAAAATCAAATTCCTAGTCATAGGTGACATGTGCAGAGGGCTGGCGGGAAGCTGGAGTCCAAGGCTTGAGTGTTCTGACCTGCTCAGTAAACACCCTCTATAGTGCCCACCTCTCAGTGGAGATGGAAGAATGACAGGAAAGTGTCAGCTGTCTGCCTGCAGGTGACTTAGAATCCACAGGGCCGAATCACTTGACCCACCTGATAATCCAGTCCACCTATTCACTTCCGCCTACTCTTCACAAGGCCAGCTTGCCTTAGAGATTGTACTGTAGGGCTTGTGGTGCTGGGTGGGTGGCAGGAGAATCTATGCAGCTCAGAATGCCAGGGTCAGGCCTCTTGTCCCTTCTCTTGCCAGGCCCCCCAGGCCAGCTACTTCAGTGAACCCCACTGAAGAGACTTCCTCTACAGTGGTATCTGCTGCCCCTTCCACCAGCCTCTCCGGCTCTGAGGCTCCTACCCCATCCCCAGGAGCTTCCCCACCAATTCCTGAAGCTGAAAAATCTTCTGGTAAGTGAGTAACCTTTAGGGGTGGGATGAAGAGTTCTCTGGGCTTCACTTCTGATGTCTCTTCCTAGCTCCCGAGTCAGTGGGCACTGCAGAGGAGCTTCCTGAGGATGGAGAGCCTGATGCTGCAGAACTCCGCCGGCGTCGCCTGCAGAAGTTGGAGTCCCCTGTTGCCCACTGACACTGCCCAGCCTGGCCCTGCTCTCTAGTGGCCCTCACTGGAACACATCCTGCCACCAAGTGCCAGCTCCCTCTCTGCTTGCACCAGGGAGTAATAACCCCAGTTGAGAAAGGCAGGATCTCTGAGGATCAAGAAGTGTCTGGGCTTCCAGTTGATCCATCCCCAGCTCCCCTGGCAGCCATGGGGATGTTAGTCAGCTCTAACCTTCCTCCTCCACTTCTGCCATGTTCTACTGGGGCCTTGAAAGTAGAAGCTGAATCTCTGGTAAGCCTTCTCTCCCATGCTTTCTGGGAGAAGGTGAAGCCCCTCCAAGTCCTGCTTGTGAGTATGGGACCATGCTGCCGTGCCGAACAGTATTAGCTTCTGTTCCCAGTGTGGAAACCCAGAGGGGCTGAAGACAGACCAGGACCTTGCCCTACCCTCCTGCCAAGACTGGTACCAGCCTCTTTCCTCTACCCCAGTCTTCCCAGAACCCCCTTTGTGATGGTGGCTGTGCCCCCTAAGCCCTGTGGCATTTCCATGTCTTACCGGTAACCACACAACTCAGGGAAAGGAGTGCCGGGGGTGGGACACAGGCAGGCAGCACTGAGGGACCCTGCCCTGCTCCTCCCCAGCCTCTTTCCCATCCTCACCCAGCAGCCACTGCCTGGTGGGCCTGGCTGAGGGTGTGTGCTGCTCCTTAAACCACTGTCCCCAGAACCCAAGGCAGGCCACCTCCAACCTGTGGGACTTGAGTTCAGGATTGGAACTATTTCTGTACCTACTGAAATACATTTGGGCTTACATTTTATCTTTTGAATTTGAATGCTTGACCCCAGGAAGGAGGAGCAGGTGTGGAGCTAGGTCCCTGGACTTTGTAGTTTAGACATGCTCTGGGCCAGGCAGGGACCACGGAGCCAAGGCCTAGCTGCTGCTTTCTTCTTTTGGTTTTGTGTTACAGGAGTTTCTGGAGAGTTTCAGATGATTATTTAATTTGTAAATATTGTATAAATTTTAATAGCTTAAATTGTATATACAGCTAAATAAAAACTTGCATTAATGACTGGTGGAACTTGTCACCTAGCTTCAGGGCTGGGCTCTTTCCTTGCTCAGTCTGTAGATTTAGGAATGGCTTGCAGTTTCTAGGCTTAGAATGCTGAGATCATTCAACTAGAGAGCGAGCACTGGGAGGTTGGTACCTCTACCTTAGGTCTGAGGTCAGACAGAGTAGCCAGGTTCTGAACACGCTGTTTAACATTGTTTAGCCAGTTTAATGGTGGGTTGGACATGAGGCTGGTGGAGTGGACGCCAGAAGGGAAAGGTCTACATTTTGTTGTTGGTTTTTTTTTTTTTTTTTTTTTTTGGTTTTTTCGAGACAGGGTTTCTCTGTGTAGCCCTGGCTGTCCTGGAACTCACTCTGTAGACCAGGCTAGCCTCTAACTCTCGAACTCAGAAATCCACCTGCCTCTGCCTCCCAAGTGCTGGGATTAAAGGCGTGCGCCACCACCACCTGGCTTACATTTTGTCTTCAAACCTTCTGTATATAAGATATCTTCCTGTCTGTCTGTCTCATCCATTCCAGTCCATGTTATTGTCCTGTATTGTGTCATGTTTCCCATAGCTTCCAATACACCCTGTCTACAGCAAAAGCTCCAGCCCAAGGACAGATTCCCTGATGGGTCTATCCTGGGAAGCCCCCAGAACAGGCTTGAGTGGTTGCTTCCAGAATGGCTGACATAAAGAATTGTACCAGTTTATAAAGGGACAGCAGTTTGTAGTCTTGGGCTTTTACACTGGCGCCCCAGTTCCCAAATTATGACTTAAAGGCTTATTTATATGTACAATGCTTATGGCCTTCAACTAGGCTTGTTCCCACTAGTCCATAACGCATTTAACCCATTTAAACTATGCTATGTCTGCCATATGGCTAGTTACCGCTCCTCAGTTTCATATATCCTGCTGCTTCCTCAGAGTCCAGGGGCAATCTCCCAACTATCTCCTAGAGTTCCAATCTCCCTGTCAGAGTTCCCACATTCTAATCCTGCCTCAGTTCACTGGCCATCAGCTTTTTATTGACAGGTGATGCTTCCACACAATGCACAAGAGGATTATCTGTACAGCAGTTAATGTCTGCCTTTGTTAGCTTGAGTGTTGCTATGTCCTCCCATGTTGGACAGCTCTCAAGTGGACACTTGTACATACAGGTCTGCTTTCCCTGTATGAGAGCAAGACCTTCTCTCAAAGCTCTTTCATCCTAAGTACTAAACTCTGTTCTTTGTGTCCCATTTCAAATCCACTTCCTCTCTGGATGCCAGTCTGTAGAGAGCACTGCCACATGGGCTGACCATCAGGCCTCAGAAGCCTTTCTCAAGCAGCCAGGCTTTAAGGTGCTCATCGAAGTAGCCCTTAATTCGAAGAGTACCTGTCACCTCATTAACCTGGGTGATAGGTGTCTTTCCCAGCAGTGGGCTCAAAAATTCTTCCACATCCTTCTGTAGAGCCTGGAGAAAAAGAAACTCCAGTCATCAGTTTCTAATGACAGGACCCTACCCCTTCAGCCCTGGAAGAATCAGGTACATACCCTAGCCACTTACCCAGATGTCACCTTCCACCTTCCGAATCAAGGTCATCTGTCGGTTGCCATGTGTGATCTGCTTGTAGACAGGGATGTTGTGCATCCGAGAGCGCCGAACAAAGTAGGGCAAGTTGGGAAGGGGATCTATACAGCGACACAGTATAAACAGCCAGCTTATTATAGCCTCGTCCACCTCAACCAAGGCCTTTCCCCTCACAAAAGCTGCAAAGGGCTCTGTCAGGGTTTGCTGGTCTCAAACTCTTCATGTAGCTAAGACCTTGAACTTGCAATCCTCCTGTCTCCACCTCCCAAGTTCTAGGATTATAGGCCTGCTGGACAAGACTGCCCCAGCCTTCAGATCAGAACATCTCCTTTGCCCTTCAGTTCAAAGTCAAGGCTGAATTTTTCCCTTGGTCCTCTAAGGCCCCACACAGACCTGCTACCATCTAAATGCTCAAGAAGAAAAAAGCTGGGCACAACTATTCATGCCTAGAAGTCAGAAGCTGGGCATGTTGGCTTAATCCCAGCACTCTGGAGGCAGAGGCAGGTGTTATCTCTGTTTGATCCCAGCCTGGTCTACAAATAGCTACACAGAGAAACCCTATCTACAAACAAGCAAACCAATGAAGGCAGGCATGACATTAAAGGTACATTCCTTTAATCCCAGCAGAGGAATTTCTGAGTTTGGAGGCCATCTGATCTACAGATTAAAGTCCAGGCTAGCCAGGGTTACACAGACGCTTCTTTAAAAACAAATAAAACCAGTTTACTAGAGTGTATACATCTCTGCATCTCTGGGACACCCCCCTCCTTGGGGACTACTCTCTTCTTTCCCATTGACCCAGTGAGGCTGACAAATTCTGGAAAAAAGAGATCGGAGTTAAAGGGGTTCTTTTTGTTTTTTATTTGAATTTCTGGTTTACCTACACATCTATGTCTGTGTGAGGCTGTCAGATTACCCGGAACTGGAGTTACACATGGTTATGAGCTGCCAAGTGGGTGAGTGCTGGGGACTGAACCTGAGTTCACTGGGAGAGGAGCAAGTGCTCTTAATTGATGAGCAATCTCTTCAGCACCCTTGGTTTGTTTGTTTGAAACAAAGTCTCTCTGTAGCTCCAACTGACTTAAACCTTGTACTGGCAATGAGACTTTACAAACATCATCACACACTGGACTCTGTTAAGGTTTTACATACTGAGCACATGATACTCATTTTGCTGAATTTGAGGTTAGGAGAAGCTAAATGACTAAAGAAGTCACACCAACAATGAAGGACATAGGCAAATTCAAAACAGGTGCTCCAGAGCCTGTCTGCTAAGCTGTATTCTGTTACACATGGTCAGTTGGACTGAAAGAAGAGAACTCCAAACACAAGGCCTTCTCCGCTTTTTCACCACAAGAGAAGACTTCATTCCAGTAACATAGGGTGTACTAAACCCTCCTACCCTCTTAGATCTTCTAAGCCCACTGGAAAGTCCAAAGCCTCTATCGTTCAACTCACCTCTAGGAGGCTGCCAACCACTAGGTGTGGGATAATGTTTATGCTTTGGTGGCTCTGGGATTTTGGTAGGGGGGAACAGGCGCTCCACAAACTGGTATTCATCCACAGACTCCACAAAGCCGGGGTTATCAGGAGGCCTCTGGGTCTGGCTCTAAGGCAAAACAAACAAAACATCTTTCCTTTAATCAATACAGATGAACTTTAGTTTTAAAAAGTAAAGACTTGAACTGGTAAAGCACCAGACTTTGATTTTCCATTGTACATGATACCGGGGGACTGGGGTAGGGGGGAGGACTGTAAAAACAACTCTCAGTCATAATCCCAAGACTTCTTCAGGACTCAATTGACAAACGTGCATATTCCTGAAAAGCCGATTAATCATACGATTGACCAATGCAGTATTCTTCTTTGAACGTGGTGTTGAAACTCTTAACTCCAAATGACATGCTTGACCAACCAGGCACCGAGCGAGAACATACAGCTAGCTGCTCTCGGTCTTAACCAACTCGAGGGATGCAGCAACCACATTCCAAAACCCAGACTCTGCAAGTGCAGTCCAGGCTTTGCACCTGCCCTCCCGACCCTGCATTTACCCTACAGACAAGTATCAAGTGGAGTAAACAGGAAAACTAAGGCCTCGTGAGGGAATACGAAGTTGAGGGTGGTCATGAATAACAGTGAAGCTCGCACACAGCCTTTTGACCTCCAGACTCTCACCAGCTGCCGACGCCCGTAGCTCCACCGGACGCAGCTCCTCCAGTCCTGCAAAGCCACCCGGAACACAGTTGATGCCATCTTGGCTCGTCAACTGAATGTCATCTGCGCGCGCAGCCGGATTCGCCCGCCTCCTTCTGCGCGCGCAGCCCACAAGGAACGGACGCTTGCGTAAAGCGTAAGGGGCGGGCTAGGACGGCGATGGGCGGTACAAACAACCAGCGACCCGCGCGGTCGCGCAGCAGTGACGTAACACGCAGCAGGCGGCGAGGACGTGCGCGTCCCCGCTTCTTCCTCTTTCTTGACTCCATCTTCGCGGTAGCAGCAGCGGTGTCCGCGGGTTAGGTGAGATACGGGGAACTGCTGAGTCTGGAACGCGTGGTAGCAAGCTGTCCTCGGGCTCAGAGGGTGTGGGGAAGGCAAAATATAAGAGCGGATCTGTTACCTTCTCTCCGTCTTCATCTGGTTCCCTGGCGAGCCCGGCCTTCCGCATGTGAGACCGCGCAATCCCCTGCCCCCATGTCCCGGTCTTTCTCCTGGGATACTTCCTATCTTCACTCACAAGGTTTTCTTTCTTCAGTAGCCAACATGCAGCTCTTTGTCCGCGCCCAGAAACTACACACCCTCGAAGTGACCGGCCAGGAGACGGTCGCCCAGATCAAAGTAAGTATGTAATGATCCTTGATTCCGCCTAACTGTCCTCCATTATTCCTAGGCCCACAGGGAAAATTTGTCTACTTTTGCCCCTTTTTTTGCCTTTAGGCTCATGTGGCCTCACTGGAAGGCATTGCCCCCGAAGATCAAGTCGTGCTTCTGGCAGGTTCGCCGCTGGAGGATGAAGCCACCCTAGGCCAGTGTGGTGTAGAGGCCCTGACCACTCTGGAAGTAGCAGGCCGCATGCTGGGAGGTGAGTGGTTTTTTCCAGTGTGAGTTAATGGAATGTTTGTAGTTAGACCATTTCTCTGGTACACTTGTGCCTTCTCGGGACTTTAGATCATACTGATACTTAAGTCTTTAACCAGACTATAGTTCACAGTGTCCTCCCTAAATTTTTTTTTTTTTTTATATTCTCCCTAAAATTTTGAAACCTGGTGGTAGCCTGCCTTTAATCTTACTACTTGGGAGGCAGCGAGGCAGGCAGATCACTGTGAGTTCTAAGCCAACCAGGGCTATACAGAGGTGGCCTAGAAAAAAGGCAAAACAAAAGTAATAATAAAATCTGGTCTGTTAGGTTCTCAGTGTGCTCCTGTCCTTGTTCTGTGTGTAAAATGTAGCTAGGAGTATGGATTGGTTTGTAGAGTCCTTGCCTTAGTATCTGTCAACCCTCAGAATTGCATAAACTGTTTGTGACATCCATGGACAGCTATTTTGTGACCCTGTCTCTAAATCTGTACACCTATGTTTCATTCTTTGTCGGCCCCAACTTGTCAATAAAAAGCTCAAGAGTTGAGGGGGAGGAGCTGCCCTCAGTGTGACCTTGCCACTCACCTCCTGCCTTCCTCCCACCCCCAACGCAGGTAAAGTCCATGGTTCCCTGGCTCGTGCTGGAAAAGTGAGGGGTCAGACTCCCAAGGTAAGCACAGGATTCGTGTTTGGACTTTGTTTCTTTCTGTCACAGCAAAGTGAAGACCTTTGGATTTCCTGTTCTATTTATGGAGAGGAGCTGGTGGGAAAGATGCCAGGGGTGGGAGAGGTCAACCAAGGTCTGATCAGTCCTTCCTTTTCCCAGGTGGCCAAACAGGAAAAGAAGAAGAAGAAGACAGGCCGGGCCAAGAGGCGAATGCAGTACAACCGACGCTTTGTCAATGTTGTGCCCACCTTTGGCAAGAAGAAGGGCCCTAATGCTAATTCCTAAGTCCTGTTGTGACCCTGCCACGTAATAAAGCCACTTTGCCCAGGCTTCTTATGCTTTCTTTATTTGTAAGATGGTGGCCAATTTGAGGGTAGTGAAATGCCTTGGTCATCAGGAAGGGTAAATCAGAATCCACCACCACAAAGGCTAGCTTCAGGTTATGACAGTGCACATGCCTTTCAGTTCCAGCAATGAGAGGCTGAGACAAGTAGATCTGAGTTCAAGGCCACCCTAGTCTACATAGTGAGTTCAGGAAAGCCACGGGTATGGAGAGACCTTTTTTTCAACGAACCAGATTTAGTGACAAGGCTTTTGTGTTGTCAGGGCAGCAATGGAAGAGGGAAGGGTTTGGGGTAGAAGGGAATAATCTTCCCTGAATTCCAGCTATAGTCTCAAAAGTCCAAAGCACACAGAGCTTGGTATCCCCCAGCTTTAGGAACCAGTATAACCTTACTACCTTGGCATTTAAATCTTACCCGGCCTAACTTAATCACTACTGTGACAGGACTGATTAATGGTTCCACTCCTGGACCCCATTCTGCTCATCTGTGTTTGTAACCTACTGCTTAGAATAACCATGGAGTAAGGCTGCTCCATGCATTCCAGCGTCTGATGCTTTGAGACCAGTGTCTGGCCCATTGTAGATGGTGACTTTTCTATAACGGGTGTGGATATGTCCCCATATTCATGTGGGGGTTAGTACATCTTTCAGTACGGATGGAACTCAGGTTGACAGGAATTAGAGGCAAGTTCATGATTGAATTTTATTTTGAAACTCAAGGCCAGGCTGCTTTTGAACCTCCAAAGTGCTGGTATTACTGGTGTGAGTAAACACCAGGCTTAACTAGTACTCAAGTCAGGGGGCTGGAGAGATGGCTCAGTGGTTAAGAGCACTGACTGCTCTTCCAGAGGTCCTAAGTTCAAATCCCAGCAACCACATGGTGGCTCACAACCATCTGTAATGAGATTTGATGCCCTCTTCTGTTGTGTCTGAAGACAGCTACAGTGTACTCATAAATAAAATAAATCTTTTTTAAAAAAAAAGTAGTATTCAAGTCTTAAATGCAGGAACTCATGTCCCCAACTCAGGCTCTTTGTAGAGAAAAAGTACAAAATGAGAGATTGAGCCAGGAGTAGTGGCACATTACCTTTAATCCTTTAATCCTAGCATTGGGAAGGAGTTTGAGGTCAGTGTGGTCTTCATAGTTTCAGTTGAGCCAAAGCCGCACTGAAAATCAGCCTATGGCTGGGTTGTGGTGGACTTGAATCCCAGGCAGGGAGGCCTCTTGAGGATGAGGACAAACTGGTCTACAGAGTGAGTTCCAGGACAACCAGAGCTAGACAGAAACCCTAACTTGAAAACAGTTAAGTGTGGTAGCCATAAAACCCCAAGTGCTGTACAGGGTTGGAGAATTGGCATTTGTTTTCATAAGAATGTCCCTAGGAAAGTCTTAGTATGTAAGCTTGTAATCCCAATACTGGGAAGGCAGAGGCAAGAAGATGAATTCAAGATCATCCCCTGCTACGTAGGTAGTTTGAGGGCAGCCTGAGCTTGAAACTTTGTCTCACAAAAAAAGCAAAGACACCCTTAGAAGGTAACAGAGAAGGTTTCAATAATGAGACTGGAAACCAAAGAGCTGAACTACAAAGATCTGACAAGTGTTATTGGGAAGATACAGATTCCACAGGCTTTGCCAGACAGCTTTTGGATTTGTGTTAGTCCATTTTCCATTATGACTGGACACTAACATACAGCGTTTCTGTCACAGGCACGCCCTACTAGTTTATGAGTGGATTATCCACTAAGACAGAGCACTTGACCCATCTACCTCTCAATATGCCTCATAATACAAACTGAATTTCAACACAACTCGAGGGAGGTTGTTTTGTCTATTTGCTCATGTATTGTTTGGTTGTGTTTTGGTTATGTTTGAGACAAGGTCTCACGTAGGCCTAGGCTGGCCTCAATTTGATATGATTATGTTACGTATTTTGAACTGCAGATTTGTTAAATATGTCTGGTTTAGCTGGGCGGTGGTGGCACACACCTTTAATCCCAGCACTTGGCAGAGACAGGCAGATTTCTGAGTTCGAGGCCAGCCTGGTCTACAGAGTAAGTTCCAGGACAGCCAGGGCTACACAGAGAAACCCTGTCTCGAAAAAAAAAAAAAAAAAGTCTGGTTTATTAATTTATTTTTGTCTGTTGTTATTTTGTTGGCCTTTTGTTTTCAAAATAGGGCATCACCATGTAGCTCTGACTATCCTGGAACACACTAACTCACAGAAATCAGCCTACTTTTGCCAACCCAGTGCCGGAATTAAAGGGGTGCGGCGCTATGCCCTGCTAAAACCCTGGTGTTTTGTTTGTTTGGTGGTGGTGGTTGGTTTTGTTATTTAAAAGGTAGTTTTATTTTTGCACAATTTGGTACAACCACCAAGAACAAGCTGGGATTAGCGACACAATTTTTCTGAACTCCACTAGCCAACGTGTTGGGTAGTGCTTGGACGACTTCTGCGCTTGCTCAAAGAGGAACTTACAGAGAAGTCAGAAATGTGTCGAAAGGAGGCTACGCCTCCCTCCACCCACAACACGCACACAAAAGCGGAAATAGCCAAAGAAGCGCCGGAAGTGGCGGAGCCGGTACGGGACAAGCCGCACCAGTTTCCATGGAGCCCGCAGGGCTCTGCGGCTTCTGCCCGGCCGGGGAAGCGCTTCCAGCGCGCTACACCTGCCCGCGCTGCAACGCTCCCTACTGCTCGCTGCGCTGCTACCGGGCGCACGGCGCCTGCGCCGAAGACTTTTACCGCGATCAAGTGCTGCGAGAGCTCCGTGGCCGAAGCGCTTCGCCCAGCCGTCTGGCGGGCGCATTACGCCGGCTGCGTGAACAACGCGAGGCCGAGGATGAGCCCGAGGAAGCAGGCCTCGGGCCGGGCACGCGGCCGGGCGGTCTTTCTGGACTTTGGGACCGTTTAGCGCCGGCTGAGAAGGCAGCATTCGAGCGGCTGCTGAGCCGTGGCGAAGCCGGACGCCTTCTGCCTCCGTGGCGGCCCTGGTGGTGGGGCCGCGGAACCGGCCCACGTTTTCTGGAGGAACTGGATCATGCGGCAAGCAGTGACCTTGCGGAGCCAGAGCCCGCCCCTGCGAGGACCGCGCTGGAACCCGTGGACGATGCCGCCGCTGCTGAGCCACTTGCTGAAGACTCCAGTGTCTCCAGACCGCCCGCATTCCCTGCCCGCATCCCTGCACTGGCCAGTCTGAGCCACAGCCCGCCATCGCCACTGGTGCGCTTCCAGCTGCCCAATGTGCTATTCGCCTACGCTCATACTCTCGCCCTGTATCATGGAGGGGATGACGACGTGCTACTCTCTGACTTCTGTGCCACTCTGCTCGATGTTTCTGGGGCCCTGGGAGCCCAGCAAGTCTTTGACTCTACAGAGGAAGCCCTTCAGGCTGCAGCCCACGTTCTGGAAGCGGGCGAGCACCCACCTGGGCCCCTGGGTACGCGGGGTGCTATGCAAGAAGTTGCCCGCATCCTGCTGGGCGAGGGTCCTGTCAATCAGAAAGGCTATACGCTGACAGCACTGGGGCACCTGGCGCAGACCCTGGGACGAGCCCGGAAACAGGCTGTGGATGGTGAAGAGCGAGATCGCCTTTACCGGGCTCGGAAGAAGTGCCAGTTCCTGCTGGCTTGGACCAACGAAAATGAGGCTGCCCTCACACCCCTGGCTCTAGACTGTGCCAGAGCCCACCGAGCCCATGCTGTGACAGCTGAGGAGATAGCAACCCTTACTGGGGAGCTAGAACGGCTTTGGGGAGGCCCAGTACCACCCTCTCCAAGGACTCTCATTGAGGAGCTCCCTGGCTGAGCTGGGTATCCATGTCATTAATAAAGATGTGTCTGGTCTGCCCAAATGTTGGCAGTGCCTTTCTTTTCTTTAAAGATGGTGCCCTGTCCTAGGCTTCTCTTGAAGTTGGTGTGTAGTTGAGGATTACCTTGAACTTCTGATCTGCCTCCCACCTTGACAGTGGCAGGTTACAGTGTTAGCCACCTTACTAATATTCACAGTGCTGAATAGCAAAGGCTTCCAGCGTGGTCCACAAGCACTCCATAACTGAGCAACATCCCCCAGGCCTGAAGTGCCCATTTCTGAGAGTAACCAGTTGTCTCACTCAGATTTTTGGACCCACAAACCACTTTTAGGCTTTCCTTAGTCAACTAGTCATTCCCAAGTCTCAAGTCACTGTCTGCAGGATAGAAGAAAAACAGCAAAGGTTGAAAACATTTATTCAACAGGGAAAAATAATTTCCTTCTGCTGTAACCCTCTTCTTTGGGGCTGACCATCCCCTGCCGAGAACTGGTTCGATGGATCTGCTTCAGTACACGTAGGGTATGATTCGGTAAGGCACACGCTTGCAGTACTCCTGCCAGGCATGGCCATACTTTCGGAGACACTGCTGCTCATCTCGGGCCTCGCGGTGCACCAGCAATGCAGTGAAGTAGAGGACGTAGAAGTAGGGCAGCAGGTGGGATAGCCCTGTAGGGAAGAGGCTGCATGGTCAAGCACCAGCACTCAGCTCATAAAGGCTTTCACAGCTAACGGTACACAGGGTGTCAGGGTTCATAGGCCCTTTATCCCCACCAGGCACACCGACCCACTCCAAAACCCACTCACCACAGGGCAAGGACCAGGCCAGAGCCATGATAAGGTCTCCCAGGTAGTTGGGGTGTCGAACCATACCCCACCACCCAGACACCAGCAGCTGCCTCCCTGTGGCAGTAGGGATGGTCTCAAGACCTAGAGAAAGACAGCTAAGGAACCACAGCCTTGCTGTTTCATCTCACCCATAACCTCTAAGGCCCAACTCACCAGCCACACTGGGGTCAGAAGGATTCTTTCTGAATGTGTTTTTCTGGGAGTTGGCACCTCGAAAGATGTAGTAACCAACAGCTGAGGGAAAGTATGAGCAGGTGGTGAGGTGGGAGTCCCGGTCTTTTGCCTAGCACTGACCAAAAGCCTATCCAAATCCCAGGCTCTGCTATGATACCCAGGAGCCAGCTCCCAGCCTTAGAGGAGCATCAGAGCCTGGGACCTACCTGATGGGTACTGAATAAAGTATGAATGAAGGGGAAGGGGAAATGAAGGGCCCTCCTACTGACCCTTAATGAGGCAGATGAGCAAGGCCATGGGCAACCCCAAAGGCTGTGGATGGTACAACAGGAACTGGGCCTGCAGGCTGTAGGTGAACGGTACCCAGGCTAGGTCTCCAAAGACCAGCATGAAGCCAAACCCATCATGGATTATGTCCATGGTGGTGAGGACAGACTCCTGCAGGAACATGCCCCAGACACTGGCTTAGTCCAGATGACATACTCAGGATCCCCTGCTTGCCTCCCACTGTCCAATCTAGCCTCACCTCATACCAGAGGGCGTCACCCACATACAGCAGCTGGAAGCCATTGACCAGCCACATAGCCAGTGAAGGACTCCCCCGAAGCTCCGCCTCCTGCATCAGCAGGGCCAGGTTAATGAAGACCTAAGGGAAGTAAGGGCCATTGTCTGAATGGGAGCATCTGAGTAGAACACTCCCAACCTCTCCCTTCCTTTCAGCTGTCTGTGTTGACTGGATCCAGGTCCTGTACTCACAAGACACTGGATTGCATGCAACTCTGTCTTAACTTAAAACTCTGGCTTTTGAACCTGAGCTTTGTCACTTGGGCAGAATATGTATCTTTGCTAAAGTTCACTTCCCCACTCCTGTGTGAAAAATAGGAATAGTCAGGGCCCTGCCTTGAGTTCTTGTTTGAAAAACTAATATGTTTGTACAGCTAAGGACTGGCTTATTGCCGGGCGGTGGTGGCGCACGCCTTTAATTCCAGCACTTGGGAGGCAGAGGCAGGCGGATTTCTGAGTTCGAGAGTTCGAGGCTAGCCTGGTCTACAGAGTGAGTTCCAGGACAGCCAGGGCTACACAGAGAAACCCTGTCTCGAAAAACCAAAAAAAAAAAAAAAAGAAAAAAAAAAAGAAAAAGGACTGGCTTATTATGAACCTAAACTTTGCATCTTCTTCTTCCTCTTCCTCCTCTTCTTCCTCCTCTCCCTTTTCTTCTTTTTCTTTATAAGACAGGGTTTCTTTGTATATCCCTGGCTGTCCTAGAACTTCTTCTGTAGACCAGGCTAGCCTCGAACTCACAGATATCCACCTGTCTCTACCAAAGTGCTGGATTAAAGGTGTGTACCGCCATTGCCTGGCTTTGTACCCTCATTTTAGTAGCTCCAATGGCCTGAAGAGTGTAGCTTCTTCAGTAATACTGATGTGGTATTTTCTTTAAAAAAAAAAAAAAAAAAAAAAAAAAGCCGGGTGGTGGTGGCGCACGCCTTTAATCCCAGCACTTGGGAGGCAGAGGCAGGCGGATTTCTGAGTTCGAGAGTTTGAGGCTAGCCTGGTCTACAGAGTGAGTTCCAGGACAGCTAGGGCTACACAGAGAAACCCTGTCTCGAAAAAAACCAAAAAAACAAAACAAACAAACAAAACAAAAAAAAGAGTCACTAAATAGCCTTGGTTGACCTGGAACCATACAGACCAGGCTGGCCTGCCATTGCCTCTGGAGTGCTGGGATTAAAGGTATGGCCTACTATACCCAGCCCATATAAGCAGTCTCAGAAGAAAATGTAACTTTATAGTAAGGGATTACAGTAACTGTAATCCTAGTTACTTGATTAGCTGAGGGAAGTGGAAGGGACCTTGATTTTGAGACTAGTCTGGATTATCCTAGTGAGACCTGTTTCAAAACTAAACCAAACCCCAACTCAGATTCAGCGGACATTGGCACTCCTGCCGCTGTGAAGGATCTTCTCTATGGGGAACGCAGGAGCCTGTCTGAGTCCCTCTGAAGCTCTCCGGCCACCACCCATGTATGTGTGATCTTAATACAAGAAGAGTTGGTATGTTGTCAAAGCCACCAGTGACAACGTGTCAAATCCCATAACCCCTGGAGGCAGCTGCCTGGTCCTCAAGCCTCTCCTTAGCTGTTTTGGAAGTCAGTTTTGTCCTTGGCAGCTACATCCAAAGCTGCCTGTGCTCGTCCAGCTCTCTGCCTGCTTTGCTTCCCCCACACAACCTGTCATCACTGTCATGCTGTATAGATTGTTTTGTGGTGCTAGGGTTGGAACCTAGGGCTTTATGTGTGCTAGCCAAATGTCCTCTCTATGTCTCTTAAAGATTTGGTATCAAAACCTTTCTCTGTCTTAATATTAAAGCAAAACCATGGGTTTATAGCACAGCAACATACTGGCAAATGTATGAATGATGAGTGCTGTCCACCCAGCAATGCTAACCCACTCTGCTCTTCTCCTGGCCCAAGACCAGCACAGTTAAGCCCAGTATGCCCAGCGTACCCAGCCGATGAGGCCAGGTCTCAGCTCACAGAAATATTTGAAGTCAAAGGAACCGAGGCGAGGGTTCAGCTCCCGTCCCAGAAAGAAGTCATACACAGAATTTCCTGAGGAACAACGGAGAGTGAAGGCACAACAGGTAGGCATCCCACCTACCTCACCCCTACCTCACTGGGACCCTTCTCACCTGAGTTTCCTCCAGGAGCCAGGGCCGAGGCAGGAGCTACCAAAGCTTTCGCATAGAGAAGAAGGCTGAAGATAAAGCTGGTGAGAGTGGTCGAAAAGGCCAGGGGCAGGAGCATTCCAGGGAGTGCCCCCAGGGGCAGCCCAACAGACACTCCCAGCCCCACCAATAGGGCTGTTAGCACCAGAGCCTGGAAGCCTGAACCACAGCACAGAGTGAGCCCTGGATTGGCTTGCATACTTCCACAGCCAAAACACCCACCCACCCACACACCCACGTACACACACACAGAGTTCTGGGAGGACACTGGCCTGGAGCTGAGTAGCAGCAAAAGGGGTGGAAGCACAACAAGATCCCCATAGGGGAACATGTCGTCAGAGCTAGTACATAAACCTCCCACTACCCTTGAAACCCGACCCAACCCGTGTAACTCGGATGCAGGGAGGAGGAGGGAAAACCCCAGGCACCATTAATAGGGTAGCGCAGGCGACTCTTGTCCTTCAGTTCTAGCCCTTCGGCCACCTGCAGGTACAGGGCAGGTTTTATAAGGGATACGGAGACCTTCCCCCTGGTCCAGCCCTCCCTGCATCCTCCCTCCTCCCTGGTGTGTTAAAACAGAGCACACACACCTTGCGTGCAGGCAGCAAGTAGAGCGCCACCTGTAGGCCAAGCCAGATGAACAATAGCAGCAGAGCCTGTATGCTCCACAGCTCCTCCAGCCCAGGCAGATAGGCCGGTAGGGCCAGGAGGCGCGCCGGAACTGAGCGGGCCGCCAGGAGCAGGTGGAACATGGTGGCAGGTAGCAGGATCAGCATCGCTGTGACGCCTGGGGAGAGGGTCACTGTGTCTTGTGACTGCTCCCCAGAGCTCTCTCAAGTCCTCAGGCGCCTTGAGTCACCTGCCTGCTTAGCGGGTTCCGAGCGCCATACCCCTAGCTTGGTTTTCATCTTGGTCTTCTGTCCTGTCATTCCCAAAGCCCATCCTGTTCTTCCAACTGTCTTTCACTACACAAACTCCCTGCTGTGCAACTGTCAGCACCGGTCCCTCCTCTCCTACAGACACGCATGCACCGGATCCTTCTGCCAAACTTCCCAAAAACCTTCTATAGAGCTTGTATCCTACCCTGCTCCCGTTAAGTAGCATCGGTTCAGCCTCCACCCCAAACTCTCATTTACCCAGCGGCCCCCCGAATTCCAGTGGGGCCTGGGAGGCCTCACGAGAAGTCATGATCTCTGCTTTGCCGGGGAACAATGGTTCACAAAAGTCGATCGAGGAAACACCGCCCGCCCCGTGCCGATAGCCTGGTTAAGCCTCTGCATCAGTCTGGACACAGAGGTGGGGGATACTGCTCTTGTTCAGTGATCTTTAAATGGACGCGCCCTCTGCCCATCCTGGGCCCAGCACAGTAGCCAATCAGCGCTGGGAGGCGGGCCCTGTGCTGGGGCCTAAGAAGCTTCGGCATTGAAACCCAACCCCAGGCAGGTCCCGCCCCTGCAGGCAAGAGGAAGGAGGAGGACATAAACATAAGTTTATTACAAGGATCCATAAACCCGCCAGCGGGGAAGGGACTCCAGGGTGAGAACAGGGCACAGGGAGGACAGGGCGAGAGGGCTGCTACGAGACTCATCGGCGGGTTCTAGCCGCGCTCGCAGATGACCTCGACAACACTGGGTTCCATGGGCACTGGGTCGGGACAGCGCAGGGCAGCTGAGGCTACTACTTCGTCCAGCAGCAGGTGCACTAGCTCCTCGTCTGCCACAAAGCGCCACAAGTAGAGCTGCAGGAAGTGGCAGTCCACCTGCACCTGCTGCAGCCCGAATCGCCCAAACGTGCGTAGACGCACACACTCCAGTAATGTCTTCAAGCTGATCTTAATGATGCCAGTCAGCACCGACACCTGCAGATGGACACATATGGATACAGCTCAGTGACTGCAGGCTTTTGGGGAGGAGCATACATCCAAATTCTGATCAGAGGCAAGGGAGATAAAGACAGAAATTTCTACGGCTCAGGTAAGGAGAGAACAATCCTCCTTCATGTTGCCACCATGAAGGAAAGGGGCAGATAAGTCCCAGTGGTCAGATCAGAGATGGGCAGCATGAATATGACGGGCAAGAGTCGCCACTGCCTACAAAGTAGAAATGGAGGAAAGAGGTCGCTGAGCTTGGGCTTCGGTGGGGCAGAGATCAAGATTTGATTGGGAACCCCTGAAGACTCCCTGAAGATTCAAGACTATTTTGGAGAATAGAGTGAGAGCAGAGAAGCCTTGAAATGAGATCCAGACGGACAAGGTGGCTTTGCTCTGGATCACCTAGAGACAGACTAGATAGAGTGACCACTAGTTAAGCTCAGATGGGGTCCTAGGACTCCCTGGATTGATATGGGAGCCAACCTTCCCCCTGAGATCTAGATGAGAAGGTACTTCAGACCTTATTGAATTCCACAGGGCTGAACACATCGATTCGTTCAGAGAACAGCTTCTGAATATTGCTCAAGAGGTTTGTGTCCATCGGAGCACTGGAAGGGGGAAGGAAGGAGTCAGAGACCACTTTGCCCACCCTCCTTCTTCTATCTCAAGGAGGCTCCCTCTTAGTCGGACCTGGGTGTGTAGCTAGGTGCATAGCGGCCCTGCTGCCGGGAGCTGCTGTATACAGAGAAGGTCCTTTTGCTGGAGTCACTGCTCTGGGCCTTGCGGACACCCTCTTCATACAGGAGCCCCACCTGGTGGAGAAAAGAGGTACTGCAAAGCCAGAGCATGCGTTACTGACAGAACTTCCCTTACCTGCTTGTTGAAGAACCATAGGTATGGTCACCACTTAGACAATCAGGGGAGTAGAACAAAGGCAGAGCAAAGCATAGCCTGAAACTCAAATTTTCAGCTCATCCTTGTTTCAGCTTTTTGGGTGAATTTGGGTGACATTGGGCCTGCACATACCCATAGAAATGGGGGTTCTAGTGGCACAACATGGGTACAGCTAGACCCCTTTTGTCTTGGGTTTTGGAGAGCCGTTACCTAGGAACCCAGCATGTATTAGGGTTCCACCAGCTAGCCTGTGGCAGCACCTGTACATCAATAGCTGTCGTGTCCTCCACCACACGCTTCATGACAGCTCGCACGTTCCGGGGCTCCAGAGTACTGAGCCAGTCCCGTGTCTCCACACTCTTGCGTAGCATCTGCGATATGACCAGGCCTTGCACCTTCACATAGTGAGTTAGCAGCCGCCGCGCTGTCTCTCTGGCCTCTGCACACAGTGTACTCACAGGTGTAACGGGAGACTGATCCTAAGCCAGGAAAGCAGAGGACAAAGGTTGGAGGTACTAGAGACAGATCACCACCAATGAGGAGGTGAACAAATCTTGGGAAGCGGAGGCTGAGATGGGTGCAGACCGCCAGTCTTGTTCTGGCAACAGGAGAGACTCGACCTGCTGTGTTGCCAGCATTCGTGCCCTTTCCCCTCTCCCGAGCCACTTCACCTGCACCAGAAACTGTTCATCAGTGAGTGTGAGGATGTAGGAGATGGTGGCTGTCTCATAATCCAGGCAGAGGCGAGAGAGCAGCAGGAGCAGGGCAGGGGGCGTGGCACCTCCCTTTTCTCCAGGGCTGTCACAGAAGCTCTGGGCTGTCTGGCACATGGAGCGGATGAAACCCACGATGAGGCCCTCACGGACTCCCTGGCTGCAGAACTCGCCCTGTGAAGGGAAGCCAAGATCCACTCCCAATCCCTCCTCCTACGCTGGAGAGGTTCAGCCAACTCAGAGCACAGGGCTGGTCCTTGCTCTTTGCCTTAACCCCACTCTAAAGGCTAGCCCCACCCTGCTTCCCCGCCTAGCTGTGGGTAAGGCTGGCAGCAGTGAGGTCCCTGCTACCCTTCTATCTTTAGCCCGGCGACATAGCATCTTCTCCTCCAGACTGCCTCTTGAGAATGTAATTCCACATGCAGAGTACTTGGGACAGTACTGTGTGGGTCTGGTGATGTTCCCCAAACACTAGTAAAAGGGTGCTGGGGGCCAGTTAGCAAAACTAAGCAAAGCCCAAGGACAGACATACCCTGAAGTAGGGCTTATTGGAGAAGGACACCTCCTTGGCAGTGAAGAGATGCACAGAGGCCAGTGAGGCCTTAATGTGGCTGAGGATGGAGCTGGCCACATTGGCCAGCAACTCAGCCAGGCTGGGGCCCTCCTTCCCAGCTAGGCGAGGTGCTGCCAGGGCCTGGCGAACATCGGTCAGGCAGCTCAGGAAGGCAGCTTTCAGACCCTGCAGATGGTGGCTCAGGCGTTCCCGGGCCACTCGCTCCACAATCTCTGTGGCCGACTCTGAAAGCCTAGCAGCAGCCAGCAGGGCCCCAGGTGCTCGCAGGCGGCGGTGGAAGCGATCTAGTGCCCGCACCAGCAGTGAGTTGTCACTACCACCCTGCTCTTGTGCCAGCCGCCGCTCAACCAGTGCAAAATAGCGGCCGCCCAACTCCTGCGCAAAGGCTGCCAGCTTCTCTGCACCAGCCGGGCCCTGAGCAGCAAACAATTCTTGGTAGGCTGCTGCCACCTGGCAGAGACCACCCACAAAACCATTGCCACCACGGTCGGTGAACTCTAACACATCAGGCGCTGGAGGAGAGGGCCCCAGCTCGGACTCCAGGCTGCTGAGTTCTTCTTCAAGCCGTCCCCGAGCATGCGCCAGAAACTCCTCACACAGCTCCTCAGCGGGCTCGCCTAGGGCCAGCAGCAGCTCAACGCACTCGGCCTGCTCTGGAGCACCTGAGGAGCCTTCCCTGTGGTGACAGAGATGCAGTGAGGACAGCTTCTGGGCTGTGGGGGAGAAAAAATGTGGGGGGCACTCGATGTGATTGGAGAACAATGACCAGGCCCGGAAACCACACCTGAAGCGCTGCCGCAGCTGCTGGGCCAAACGTGCTGTGATGACCTGGCAGTCATCCTGGATGGCGCGGAAGGAGGGCAGGTGCTGGTACTGCTGCAACACGGCCCTGGCACGACCCTGGTAGCGCACAGCCTGCCCATAGGCACCCAACTCCACACACTTGGTGAGGCGCGAAGGCAACTCAAAAAGGAACTGTAGCTTCCGCAGTAGTGCATGTACCCCTAGGGGACAGGAAGGGCATGTGAGCTACAGAGCTCAGGGTGGTTGGCTGCAGGGCCTGGCTGGTATAGAGCCCACCTGCTAGCTTGGTGATCCGCTCGTGTCGGTCTTGTAGCGTGGCACTGATACGTGCGCTGAAGTTGGTGATTACTGCCATGTTGGTGGCCAGCCGGTCCATCTCGTCTTCCATCTTCCGGAAGTCATTCTTCATCTTTCGAATGGTGTCTAGAAGGGCAAGAGCCGAGAGAGGGAAATGGAAATTACTATGGCAGGGAGGTGCAGTGCTCGCTGATCCCAGTGATTTGACTGAAATGGACTGGGCCTCGGCATCAGCATGTACGGGCAAGAAGGTTATTATGTTGGTGCATCGGCCCTGCTTACCATGTCTGTCCCTGGTGTGGACGGAAGAGGGTGAGACTACTTAAAATTGGAGGGAAAATGTTTTGTTTTTAAAAAGTACTTACTCGCTGTCCTGACTGACTTCATTTTGTCCAAATTTGCTCTCCATTTTTCCTTTCCAGTTCATTTTGTTTTGGAAGTGCACTGGTCCCTGGCACCATCAGTACCCAGCAGACCTGAGCCTGTATGTGCATCAGAGCTCCAGGCCCTCAGCCTGACAGAGGTTGCAGCATGTCCCTCTGGGCTCCCTGCTTTTGTCCTCTCATATATATTCCTGGGTCACTGACTAGAACTCAAATGTGGAAGCCCAGCTCTCACCCACAGCAGCTCAGCCACATGGAGAGTTAACTCACTTCACTTTCCTCTCTGTCCTCACTCTCTCAGGAGGATGCGCTCAGAGCTACTCTTTGAGAACCCTTAGAAGTGAATCCAGGAACAGACTTCAGGTACCAGCCTCTCCCTCAAACAGTATCCAGATCCCAACAACAGCCAGAAACACTTTGCACTGGCCAGAACTCCTTTTGATTCATTAGAACATAAGCTCTGCAAAGGCAGGGACCAGCTGAGCGTTCACTTCTGGGACACCCTCTGCACACAGCGGGTCAGACAATAAACTCAGACCTCCTTCCAAAATGGCCCAGATTGTCAGTGGACTTCTAGAACATGCTGCATCTTCTGTAAAGTCCCCCCCCTTCAGCCAGACTGAACCTGTGTAAGAAGGCTGTTTGTCCTTTCAAATGTCTCAGGGCCTGGCCCCTTAATGCTTCTGTCTCTATGTCTTGTCTCTGCAAATCCCACTTTAGAAGACCATGCCCCACCCTTCTACAGCCAACCCTACTACGTCACGCCCACTGGTCTCCGCCTGCCTCCTAACTATCACTCACTGCCTGTACATCAACGTGAGTGAGCCTCTGGCCGTTCTTGACTGGTCACCTAGGGCATCGATCCCACCTATTCTTGCCTCTGGTCCACATCTCTTGGCCATCACCTGGCTACCCCTCAGCCTCAAGCCCTGCCCCATTCTATAATCCCACCACAATCCTAACTCAAGTTGAACATTTATTTTATTCTGGCTTTTTGAGACATGGTGTCCCAGTTTAGCCCTGGATGACCTGCAACTTGCTATTTAGACCCAGAAAGTCTCCAAGTTAACTGTGATATGCTTGTGTTTGCCTCAAGCAAGCACTGGAATTATATTCAAGCATCACCAACTGAGTTTACCTTTTCTTTTTTTGTTTTTGAGACAGGGTCTTATTATGTAGTTCTGACCTGGAACTTACTCTGTAGACCAAACCAGCCTTGAACTCACAGAAGTTCTTCTGCCTCTGCCTCCCAAGTGCTGGGATTAAAGGCGTGCGCCACTATGCCTGGCTTTAACTCCTATTTTTGACTTCAAAAACATGGAGAACATGGGACTGGAGAGACGGTTCAGCAGTTAAGAGAGCCTGTGGCTCTTGCAAACGATCTGGTTTTCTTTCTTTTCTTTTTTGGTTTTTCGAGACAGAAGATCTGGTTAACCTCCACATGGTGACTCACAACCATCTATAACTCCAGATCCAGAGTATCAGATGCCCTCTTCTGGCCTCTGCTGGTACTACATGCCTGTGGTACATAGACACTGCACTGACAGACAGATGCACGCATTCATGCAGTGCACCCACAGTATTTTTTTAAATAGCAAAAACAAAGAATAAAATAAAAAACCTACAGACCTAACATTTGCAAAACAATGAGATTTTAATTTTTTTCCACAAAGAAGTTGGTTATCAATAGTGAAGGGAACTCTTTACATCATCCACACAACACATGAAACAAAACATTCCTGCTGCCCCCTTCCCACACACAGAGCTTGAACCCAGGGCTTCTCTAATGCTAGGTTAATGCTACTTCCGTGCCACAGCCTTAGTCCTCACCATTCTTATTGGGTTTGTGGTTCGACAACAAGGATGGCTATTATAAAATAGAAATGCCAGATGTAAGTTACGTGTGAGCAGCGGAGCTGGGAGAGGGGCTGTCCTGAGACAGTGCAGCGCGACAGTGTCAGCTTGACAAGTTATTCATAAACACTGCTCCCAGGTAAAGCCCCAGGCCAGTCAGGACTACATAGTATGGTACTGTCTCAAAAAATAACACAGCCACGTGTTGGTTGTGGTGGCAGCAGAGGTGCATGCCTTTAATCTCGGAGCACCAAGGAGGAAGAAGCAGGCAGATCTCTGAGTTTGAGGCCAACCTGGTCTACAGAGTGAGTTCCAAGACAGCAGGCTACACAGAGAAACCCTGTTTCAAAATTTGGCTCCCCAGCCATGCCCCTTAAAAAGAAAATATCATAATGAAACACATCCCTTTGTATGTTAACTCACTACTTTTTAAAAAAGCAGACTTCAAGGCTGGAGAGATGGCTCAGTGGTTAGGAGCATTGACTGGTCTTCCAGAGAACCCAGGTTCAATTCCCAGCACCACATAGCATTTCATGACTGTCTGTAACTCCAGGATTTGACACTCTCACACAGACATATACTTAGGTAAAACACAAAAGAAAAAAAAAAAAGGCGCAGGCAGTGCAGTGGTAGACACGCCTTTAATCCCAGTACTAAGTGGGCAGAGACTTGAGGCCAGCCTGGTCTACAAAGTGAGTTCCAGGAGAAACCCTGTCTCAAAAAAAAAAAAAAAAAAGGGGAAAAAAAAAAAGGGAGAAAGGGAAGGAAAAAGAGAGAAGAAAAATCAATTCAACACATTTATTTTCTCCTCTGACCTTTTTCCTTTTTGAAATAGCATCTCACTATGTAGCTCTGACTGGCTCAAAACTCCACCTGCCTCTGTTTCCCGAGTGCTAGGATTACAGGCATGCGCCACCACACTCAGTCTTGTCTGACCACTTTTCTGAACTCAGTCTGTCTCACTTTTTAGGGCTGACTAACACTGTTGCTGAGTCATGTCACTTATTTATCCATTTACACAGCTGACACCTATTTGGATCGTTTCTACTTTTTGGCTACAAAAATTGTGTATGAAGTTCTGTGTGGACATGTTTTCAGTTTTTTGGTTTTTTTAATTTTGTGTGTGTATACCTGTGAGCACATACACATAGGCATGCAGAGCATATGGATCTGTGCACATGCGTGGGATGTCCTCACCACACATACACACATGCAAGTCAGAGGCCGATGACAGATGTCTTCCTCTTTTGTGTGTGTCTGTGTGCAGGTATGTGTGCAAGTGGCCACAGAGGCCAGACAGAGAGATGAATCCCTGTAAGTCAGAGGTACAGGCATCTGTGAGCTGCCTAGGATCTGAAATGCAGTCCTTTGATAAAGCAAACTACTGCACCATCTCCCCAGCCTTCCCCAGCTTTCTTTTTACAGACAGGGTTTCTCAATGACCTGGATCATGCCACTTCACTTCAGCTGGCTGGTCATCCAGGAAGCCCAGGGACACACCTGTTCCACCTCACAGACTGGGGTTTCAGATGTGTGCTGCTACACTTGTTTGTTTGTTTGTTTGTTTGAGACAGGGTCTCAGTATGTATCCCTGGCTGACTCAGAATTCACTATGTAGACCATGCTGGCCTCAAACTCATGACAACCTTCCTTGCTCAGCCTCTGAAGAGCTGGGATACAGGTGTCTGTAGCCAGTGCCAGCATATTTCTTGAGTAAATGTAAAACTCTGTAGTGTTTGCAGATTAGCAATCTCAACTCTCTTAACATTCACTTTATGATTTTCTCCTTCCTTAGAAAAAAGTTCAAAAAATTCAAGCCATCTCTATTAATTAACAAATAGATGTCAAACACTATACATATTCCAACAAATGAGAAAGTGTAATACTGGCGAAATTCCTATGGAAAATTCCTCTACACAGAAATCACTGTCTCTTTTCATCTTGAAGGTAGCATTAACAGATGAGCACTTACTCACTGAATCGGGCTTAAATGAATCAAAGAACAGCGAGGATGTGTTACCATAGCTGCACTGTGGTACTGGCAGACCAGTATGCCCTGTGAGAACACAACCCCAGATGTGGTCTGCCTCCTGGACACGAGGTTTAATGTTACTATACAAACATCATGTGCACCTCCTGAAAGGCAGACAGACGGCAGTGTGAGGAGAGCTGAACTATCTAGTAGCACGGCTGGAGAGAGCTCAACAGCTGAGAGTGCATACTGCTCTTGTAGAAGACCTGAATTTAATACCCAGCATCCATGTTTGTAGGCTCATAACGGACTCTAGCTCCAGCTCCAGAGGATCCATGGACATCTGCCTTCACATGTCCATATCCCCCCACACACATAATTAAATGCTGCTGCCATTGCAGCCTGCTTCCCTGCCCTGTTCCTTGGCATAACTATAGCCATTTTGCTTCTGGCCTGCCAGCCATCCCATATTGCTGACATAAAAAGAAGTAGACACAGTAAGAGTTTAGCTCAGACTGAGGTCAGGCTGACTATATATCGAATTATGAGGTTTATTACTCTTCTTGGAAATCCTCCAGCTGTGGCCTTCAAGCAAAGCCAAGCTAGATACCCCAGCTATGGCTTTCACTCAGAGCCAAGCTAGAAAAGGGGTTAGTCTGACCATTATGTCTAAACCACTAACAAACTTGGAAAAAGGCAGAGCACCCCGCAGCCCACCTTGAATCTGTTTATGAGCTTGTTGTGTTTTTCCTTATATAAGCTGACCCTGGGCAGTGTACAAGTATACAGCTTTCAGCTCCCAAATCTGTGGGCTGTTGCCCTAATCAATCAGTCTTGGAGTGTGCATCCAATAACCACCCCTATCCGAATGAGATTGGTGTTCATTTGGTTTTGTGGGGAGACTCCTGGACCCTAACAACTGCTATTACTAAATCTTGGAAAATGAGGATGCAGACAGAAAGGAAGGGAGTGACAAGTCTGCTCTCAAGGCAGACTGACCAGAAACAAAAGTTACCACTAATAGGCATTTTTAAAAATTTTTAATTGACTGTGAGATGGCTTAGCAGCAGGTAAATGTGTCTGTCATCAAGCCTGATAACCTGAGTTCAATCCCTGGGACCCTCATGGTGGAAGGAGAGTACAGACTCCTGAAAGGTGTCTTCTGACCCCCACACAGATGATGTGGCCCCCACACATGCATGTGCACAAAACCAAAGCTAAAGCTTACTGAAACGTCTTGGTGCTTCCTAAGTGCTGCAGAGAAACTCATTTCATTCCAGTCTCTTCCCAGCTCTAGTCCTTAGGACAACCCTCCCACAGGAGTCATCACTTCAAGGCAGTGGATTAAGGTTGGGACTCAATTGTAATCTGGGTCTCTTTCCTCTAATCCCTGTTTTCCTCAGCACGGGGTGGGGATGGGGTGTAAGCCTGTGAGGAGTGTGTCCCAGTGGGATCACCTGTAGCTGAGATGAACTTGTTGTAGTTCTCATAGACCAGGGTCTGCATGTCGCTGTCTAGAGCCCGGATCTGCCGCACCATGTCCGTCTCACTGTCCATCAGCTGGGCCAGAGGACACTCTCTACGCAGCTAGAGAAGGAGGTAGTAACATTCAGCGTTAGTGCTCACTCATGTCCCCCTGCCTTGATTTAGGTTAGACAACCCTAATTCCACCCTTATCAGGAATTCCATATATGGAACCATTAAGTGGCATACTTCACAAATCCCAATTCGGGATTTGTCAGCTTTCAAAGTCTTCTGGCTCAGTTTAACCTAGGCCCAGCCTAGCGCCTGTCAGAACATAGCCACGCCCACTACCCCTGGTCTATCAAAACAGCATCCAGAACTCAGACCCAATATCACCTCAAGTCAACCCTAACTGGCTCAGGCTTCCTTATCCTCCAGATCTGCCTCTATTACCAAGTAAGGGCTGTCCTTCTCTTATGAACTCTCGCTCCCATCACCATATCAACTAAATCGGGAGTATGATCTAGGGTCCACTATATTTGGGGTCTGGACCCGCCCCACTTCACACACACACACGCACACGCACACGCACACACACACGCACACACACACGCACACACACACACACACCTTGTCCAGATAAACTTCCGGGTCGAAGTGCGCCCCATTGAGATCTGTTGGGTCTAGAGGGTCAGGCCCTGCGGTGTGCCCCGTCGCCTCCCCCTCCGAAAGGCCGTAGTAAAGCTTCAGCATCCCGTGAGCCTTCCGCCGACGCTCTGGAGCGTCCGCCTCGGAACCTTCTGGGGAGTCCCCAGGCCCGGACCCTAGGCCAGGACCCACAGATGCCGCGGCCGCCATAGCTCCAACCTCAACACAAGGGGGTGAGGCAAGGGAGGGGAAGGAAAGCGCTTCCGGGGACCATAAACTTGTTGAGACCAGGCGGTCCTTCAAGTGAAACGTTCCTCTGCAGCTGTAGGATATGTGAGACTAAAGTTCCGTCTTGCGCTCGTTCTTCTGGAGCGCAGAGGTTTCGTTGAGCTTCCGGCTCATTAAGCATCTGTGATTTTGCTGTGCTACATGGGCAAATCCGTGGCATCCCAATCCTGCATCCGCACAGGAAAGAGACTGGCGGAAGATTGAATATGCGTCACAGGGGGTCTGCAAGGTTCAAATGTCCATTCAGTAGCCTACAATATGGCTTTAACGCAGTGTTTCCCAAGGTCCTGTCTCCAAGGGGTCATTTAATATGAGAAACTCTATTCTACTTAGAGAACAGATCCTGTTAGTCTTAAGAAATTTCTGGAAAGTGATACGTGAGCAGTTGGGATCGTAGATAATTTGTAAGTTTTAAAGATGTAGACATAGACCGGGCGGTGGTGGCGCACGCCTTTAATCCCAGCACTTGGGAGGCAGAGGCAGGCGGATTTCTGAGTTCGAGGCCAGCCTTGTCTACAGAGTGAGTTCCAGGACAGCCAGGGCTACACAGAGAAACCCTGTCTCAAAAAAAAAAAACCAAAAAAACCAAAAACAAAAATAAAGATGTAGACATAGAGACGAAGCTCTTAGGAGAGGAGTGAATGAGATCAGATTGGTATATGCTGAGTTAAATAGAAGAAAATGAGACTTTACTAATGATGTAAACGTTACCGAGGATAGGCTGGTAGGATGCTGGGCTGCCAGGAGTTTCAGCAGACCAAACACTATCATCTGTTTTTATCTGAAAACCAGGATTTAAAAAAAAATCTAAATGGAATAATTTTTATTATTTTTTTCAAGACAGGGTTTCTCTGCTTAGCCCTGACTGTCCTGGAACTGGCCCTGTAGACCAACCTAGTGCGGACATCTGCCTGTCTCTGCCTCCCGCGTGTTGGGACTAAAGGAGTGTGATACCACTGTCACCAGCTCTACTGCCCAACTAAAAACCGTTCTGAATAGTATTAAAATTAACTTGCCATCTGTCCAGCCCCCAGTATTTATTATTTTTAATTAAGTGTATTTGTGTGTGCAGAGGCCAGGGGCTAGAAAAGTGTTGGATACCTCAGAGCTGTAGTTGCCTACCATGATGCTGGGGACCAAAGTGGAAGAGCAGTACACATCCTTCACCATGAGCCCATGAGCTATCTTTCCAACTCAAACTCTTTTCTTTTTCTTTCTTTTTTTCTTTTCTTTTTTTTGTTTTTGTTTTTTTGAGACAGGGTTTCTCTGTATAGTCCTGTCTGTCCTGGAACTCACGCTGTAGACCAGGCTGGCCTCGAACTCAGAAATCCGCCTCCCTCTGCCTCCCAAGTGCTGGGATTAAAGGCGTGCGGCACCATCGCCCAGCTCAAACTCCTTTCTATCTTTCTTTTCTGTTTCTTCCTCTTTCAGACAGGGTCTCACTGTGTAACTTTGGTTGACCTGAAACTATTGTAGACCAGACTGGCCTTGAACTCAGAGATCTAACCGCCTCTGCCTCCTTAGTGCTGGACTAAAGGTTTGTGCTACCATGCCCAGAGACCACTTCTTGACCTATCACTTATCACTGCTTTTGTCACAGACTAAGTGGCTCATAAAACCTAAAGCATTTATTCACTTGGTCTTGGACCAAAAAAATTTCTTGACTTCTTATTCAGTGAGCTATTTAGAAACTGTACATATGAGGATTTCATCCCACAAAGCTTTAAGAAAGTGAATTTGAGCTGGAGAGATGGTTTCACAGTTAAAAGCACTTGCTGCTCTTCCTGATGACCCAGGTTCAGTTCCCAAGCTCACAACTGTCTAACATCCAGGGGATACACTGGCTTTTTGGCCTCCATGGGGAGCAGGAATACATGTGCATGCAGGCAAAATACTCATACAGGAAAAATAAAATAAAAAATTTTTAAAAGAAAAAAGACAAACCAGGCATGGTGATGTGCACCTGCCTAGAACATTGTGGGGCAGATGATCAGGTCAAGGTCATCCTTATAAGTTTGAAGCAGCCTGGGCTGCTGAAGGATGTGTACTGCTCTTGCGCTTTGGTCTCCAGCATCATGGGTACTTTTTGGGAGACCGAAAGCTGAATAAACAACAAAGGGGATGGAGAGATGGCTCCATAGTCACGAGTGGGTTCCTGAAAGCTGTCTTCTGACTGTCACATATGCACTGTAGCACTGCGAACACTCACTTCATCCACACTAAAATAAATGAGGCTGGGCATGGTAGCACAATCCTTTGATCCAGGCAGGTAAATCTCTGTGAGTTCGAGGCCAGCCTGGTCTAAAAAAAATGAGTTCTGGGGTAACCAGGGCTGCCTAGTGAGTCCTTGTCTCAAACAAAACCAACCCTGGGTTAATTAGAACTAATTAAATGTGATCATCATTTAAAACCCTGTTTATCTTTCATGCTATAAAAATACATAAGCCTTGGGAGAATACAAACCAGCACTGCAGAGAGACAAGGAAGGAAAAGTACAGGATCCAGGTGACAAGAAGCACCAACACCACAGAACTTAGACAAGGCTGACTACCCGATCAGAGGGAAGACTGTACTTTGCTGTTTCTGATTTCCTATGAAATCTGGTGGCCAAAACTAAGAGGGAAAGGCAAATTTGCTGGGTTTGGGGGAATTAATCTGTAGTCATCCCAAAATATCATCCAAAGAAAAGGGCAATTTAGATTCATTTCCTGTCTCTGCTCATTGAAGTTTGTGGTAACAAGCCGAGTTAACTCTAACTTGAGCCTAGGATGTGGCCAAAGCCTTTCTTTGCTTGGAAACCTTCAGCTATTCATCTAGGCCCTAATCATCTGCCTAAACCTTGCTTGTGGAGCTGGGACATGCCCCTCTACCTTTCTGAGTCTGGCCTGTTCCTTCTACAATGTCCCCTGAGGAAATACTGAGCTGCCAACAAAGTGCAGAGGATAGGATGCTGTCCCTTCCTTACACCATAAGCTCTTGCAACTCAGCACCTTTAGCCCACCCCTCCACAATGGAACATCCTCAATACCCAGACACATTCTATTTGTTGGAATCAGGCTACATTCTAGAACCTTGCCCTCTCCAATTCCTTCCTCACTCTGGAATACACTGCTGTTTCCGACAGAACACCCTAGCATGGCAGGATTTTGCTGGCCCTGGACAGTGACTGCTTGCTCCAGTTCCTGGGTCTGACTTGAGAGCAGGTTGTAACCAGGATGCGGTGGCGGGACCGCATAGCTGTGCTATGCTTCCCTCCAGGCCTGATGCTCACTGTAGCTGCACTCATACTCCTCTTCATCCACTTGGGTGTCTTTGCTAGCGATGTTCACAACTTCTGTGTCATCCACCACTACGACCGCATGAGCTTCCATTACACGGTTGTACTGATAGTAGGTCTGGGGTGGGGCTCAAGGGCTGGCGGGGAAAAATTGAAGGGCTGATGGGAGTGTTTGTTATGTCAGGGGCCACTCTCCCATTGGATTGGTCTCCCAGTTCTCCCAGGTGATCAGCATCGGCTGGGCTGCTATGGGGTCACTCTACGCAGAGATGACCGGTGACAAGTTTCTTAGATGCTTTGCTTTGACCATCCTGAGTGAGTGGGGAGGTGTGCTACAAGGAGGGGGAGTTTTGAAACCCTGAGACATGGCAAGGAGGGGACAAAAATGTTGAGTTGATGGGCTCTCTCCTCTACCCAGTCCTCAATGGAGCCATGTTCTTCAACCGCCTGTCCCTGGAGTTTCTGGCCATCAATTACCGAGAGGAGCGACACTGAGGCCTGGGGACTGGGGACAGGACTAAGAAGGGAGATGGAAAAAGCTGCTTCAGATGTCTTAATAAAGTCTGTTGTTTATTTGCACCTGTCTGCTCCTTTGAGGGTTGAAGTAGGATGGAGACCCAGAGGCAAGCCGGTGTAGACCAATTTGATCAAAAGGGCTACACAGCTGGCCGTATAGCCGCAGCCTCCAACTGACTTGGCCAGGGGATCTTAGTGTCTCAGGACTGAGGGAGAGGAGTAGAGAAAAGCCCTCAAGCCTTCCCACCTTCTCTCCCTAGGACTCCAGGTCCTAAGCTGGCCCAAACACGAGCAAGGGCTCAGGAAGGACCTACACGGATGTGAGGGTTCATGAGCGGGTCCAGATTGGGATCACTGTCTGCTGCAGCCCGGCCGAGTCGAGACATAAGGGCGAGAAGTGCCAGGAAGCCCAGCAGCCCCAACAGGAGCAGCAGCCCTGCCCGCTGGAGCAGAGTCAGTGGCCGCTTCCGGGACCCAGCCCGGCTTCTAAGAGGAATGAGAGAAAAGTCAGGTCAGGCCTTGGGTCCCTGCCCTGGCACAGAGAAAAGCCTTAGTCACTACCTTTGTAGACTGGGACTGGTCACCTGTGCTGCTGTACTCGCCATCCCTATTGGGTTATTATGAAGCTTTAGTTGGACACAAATCATCCTGGAAGCCTGAATATGTTAAACATCAGGGGCACTTAGAAAAATCAGGTGGAATCACAGCAGGAAGGGGCCTCGGAACCCAAGTCCAAACCGCCTATAGGAGGAAATGGCAGAGTCCCTGGGGAGGATACAACACACTAAAGCTGCCTGTCAAGCCTGGGCCTCGCTGTGGCCCTGGTACTGAGTGTTGTTAGTCCCCAGAGTTCCCCACAAGTTCCACTGTCATCAAATTGTCCATTGTGGGGCCTCTCCTTTCTGACATCCCACCCTTGTGTCTCTGTGTACCTGAGCAATTGGGCCAGCCAGCCCAGAGCAGGCCGCCGGCGGTATTTATCATCATCACAGTCTCCATGAATGCCTGCTGTCCGGTTATCATCTCGTGTGTCATATACTTTCCTTGGGGCTGTAGAGATAGAGATGCCAGCATCAACATGCTCAGACAAACTGATGCTGCAGCACGGGTGGAGGTGGTAGGAAAGATCTCCGGCCCTCCCCAACCTAACGAGGTACCTTAAAGAACTGTGGGAGGCAGTATCTGAACTTGGAGTGTGGAAGAGCCATTCCACATGGGGCCCCCGAGCTCACTCCACTCAAATCACCCACTGTTTTCTATTCTTTGACTGGGAAAATTCTCCAGCTCACCGTGTGTCAGGGCTTCAGTACTACCCATGTGTATGACCGTGTGCTGCTCGGAACGGCTTGGGGAAGGAGGAGGGCGGGGAGCCTGACTGTAGAAAGCTGGAGCAGCCGGAGTGCTGTCTCTCTCCTCTTGCACAGGGGTAGTGGTGGCTGTGGAAAGAGAGAACTCTCAGTGGAGCAGGGAGGCAAGGTTCAGACAGCAGATGGTGGCCACCACTTACCATTAAAGCTGGACCAGTCAGAGAAGTCTGAGGAATTGAGGGACTCGGGCTCTGGGCTTATCACCTCATCAATCTGTAGAAAGGAATCTCAGTCAGTAGCCTGCCCACTCCTGCTGCTAACCCATCTGATCTGCCTCAGGAGAAGCCAACACAAACAGATGTTAGACAGACAGACAGACTCTCACCAGAGGGAGGCCCAGTCCTGCCCGGGCCCAGTTGACTGTGGCTAGCTTTTCTCTCAGTGCTGAAGCCACTGGGCCAGCGAGGTTGGCTGGGGGGAAGATGGGGCCGTTACAGCTGGGGCACTGGTAGCCTGCAGGCGCTGTGTTTCGTGGTAGCTGGGCAGCACGTTCATTGATACAAGCCCAGTGAAAGAGATCTTAGGACCCATGAAATAAGAAAGGACACACATGAGAGAGGCAAGCCTTCGAGCTCTTTTCCTCAGCCCAGCAGTCCCATACCCCAGAGGCCCAGCTCACTGCAGGAATGAATTTTGGACACATGTGTGGATGCCCAGGGCCATTCCTTTTCTTCTCACTCCAGGTCCCTAAGGCTTCTTGCTAACGCCACCTGAACCAAATCAAGGTAGAGTCTACCAACTTGGCCAACCCATGAAAACTGGTATGACTGGGAAAGGAGAAAATACCTTCTACTCTTTTGAGAGTCTTCCCTGGCCTAAAATCATCATGTTCCTTGGGCTAATGACTACACAACAATAGTCTTTGGCTGGGTGTGGTGGCAGTGCCTATAATTCTAGCACTTGTGAGGTGAACGCAGGAATATTAAGATTTTAAGGTCAGCCCCATGAAATCCTAGTCTTAAAAAAAAAAAAAAAAAAAGACTACATATAAGAACACTTTCAGGAAAGCTTCCCAGACACAGATACAGGCAGATATCTGGAGGCACAAATACACATGTGCTTATAAATACACAAGCCAACTCAAGAGCCATTCCCTCAATGTACACTAGTACAATTCACTAGTAGTGTAAGATGTGCACATCTGTACACTCATGTCCTCTAATACTCAAACCCCCACCTTCATGTCATGAACTCCACGGGACCTGTGCTCATACACACTCACTCTCATCTGCTCACCCACAAATACATCAAGGTACACATGTGTATGAGTGGACACGGAATTCCACATGGACAAATCCAGGTGAAGCTACCCCTTTTGGACCAGCACCTTGGAAAACTTAAGCTGAGGCTTTTATATTATGCTGACCCCTGACTCATTACATTAGCTTAATGTAATGGCAGCTTCCTCTCTGTTCAGTCTTAGAGTCAGCAACGTTCCCTAAAACGGATCTCACTCACAGCCACTGCTCATATCATCTCTAGCCTCCCAGACCAGCAGAGCAAGAAGGGGCTTTAACTTTTATGGAAGATTCCAAGGCCTAGGAAGGAAAAGGCTTGCAAAGAATTAGGATCTGAGGCTCTGCCCTCCAGGCTCCAGGGGCTCATTGTCTTGCTGCTTGAAGGGTACTATCAAACCAGTCTCCAAGCTGGGTCCTGGGGCTGCCCTGACCCCTTCCCAGGCCTCACCATAGCAGACAAGACGAGTGGTCTCCCGACTGGCCAGAGGTGTGTTGCACAGGCGGCAATTGGGGTTGTAGTCGCTATCTTGTAGCCACTGCAAGTAGGACTGCACGATGCACTGGAGTGGGAGAGAGATGTCACAACTGGTGCCTCAGGCTCCACGATGAGCATACCACTCCAAGGCCCAACTGCCTTGTTTCTCTCATCAGACTCATCATTTCATGTGTTCAGTCAATGAACATTTATTGAGCAGCTACTGAAGGCATAGCAGAGAGCATTATACACCAAGTTCTTGCCCTGTGGAGCTTACAGTACAGCACAGGGCATGGATTTGGAAGTACCCAATCTTGTCTGCCCACCCACCCTACTCAGACACTGCTCTAAACGCCCCACCTTGGCGTGATTGGCTACCAGGCAGTGCTCGCAGACGTTAACTCGGTGTTCGAAGCAGAACAGGTTCGTCACCTTCCTCTTGGGGCACTTGCAAAGTCCCATGACCGATCCTAAGGAGAGGAAATCAATTAGCAGGAAGACAGGTTCTGATGGCTGCCACTTTGTTCTCGCCAACGCAGTTCGTTTCTTCTTTTAAATCTCCCAATCCCGTTCCACACGAAATTCCAGCATACTGCCTCAGCAAAGGAAAGGCCACGTCCCCTGTACAGATCGTACCACAAAAGACCTATCCCTCATTCCATCAAGACGCAAGCAAGCATTAGCCAAGTCGCTCCACAACTCCAATACCACCAGCCCCGCCCCCAAGACCCCACCCCCTCTTGATCCGCCCCCAGCCAGCAGACCACGTTCTGATGTCAGCGAACCTCAGCGATGCCGGTCCGGACGGGTGTGTACAGTAATGGAAAACGCCAAAGGCTGGAGACTGCTCTCGCCAACTCCGTTTGGATCTGGCCTGATTATCCCTCCGCTGCCACGTCTCTTCCGGGTGCGGCGCACGCTGATGACGCCACAGCGCCGCCTGGACACGCCTTTACTTTACGCTGGTCGTAAAACCTGTAGCCTCAAAGGATTATTACACGGGTCGGCCTTCTGCCTTGCGTCACTTCCTCTTTTTCGATAGCCAGGCGGGTAATTTGAACGTTTGAAGACACAAACTTCCAGTTGGCGCGAGCCTTAGTAGGCGACCGTGGCGGATCCTGAGCTCGACCGTAGACATGTCCGAGCGGCGGACACGATCCGGAGGGGCCCCCCAGCGGTCTGGTGAGCGAAGGGAGCGAGGGAGCAGTGGGGCCGGGTGGTTTGGGGC